TAACAAAAACAATGGTAGACCTTAAATCTTGCATATAGTGGTTGTAAGTGCTATAACAATTAATTTAGTTCCAACTAAAATATACATCTACTCATTTCTCCCAAGTCATACTTAATTACTTAAGTATCACAGCAGAAAGGAAAACTAATGCAATTATAGATTATGTCCAGATTATATGACTGGTATCTTCTGGGCAATAAACTGTATTATTATTTCCCTCTATGATTTTCAAGGCTTTATTTTATTTAATTCCTGAAGCAAGGTAAACTCGTACCAGTGAAACCTCTAAATAATCGTGATAAAGTCTAAAAAATTTTTGTTTGGCTGTAGTTTTTTAAAAAGCAATACACCTGGATTTAGCGAGGCAAATTGCTTCCTTATATCTAAATTATAAGGAATGTCAGAAAATCTCCTGCTGTCAGAACTACACAGTGCTAAAATGCATAAAGGCAAAGACACAAACCCCACACATAGGCTAGAAAATATTAAAGCTTTATATGTGAATTGGAATTTGTCTTAGTAATCAAATTTTTGGAAGTCCTAACAGTCTTTCTATTCACCTGAAATGGTTGAAAGACAAAGTTACCAGCCATACTTGTCAACAAGTTGACTTGTTGTGCCCATCTGTACAGTATCAGCATCTTACTCCATCCCAATAATACCCACTGCACAAGAGGCACCTGTTAGGACTACTGAACCTAAGTCAGCCTGTTAGCCACGCTTCTGTATCAGCCTTGGAACTGCACCTTTTCCTCTGATCACAGTCATTACCCAGTATTTACCTAATACTACAAAGGAAAGAATCAAAGTATTAACACTATAAGTCAATATTTTCCCTATAATAATATTCAATTTTTTAAATAAAACCATGACTATTTTTTCCTCTTTTCCTGAATGTAAGTCTGTGGGAGTCGGTGAGAAGTGCTAGACTTGCAAAGTTCCTATGCTTGACATACTCATACGCGACACACACAACACAGACTTCTCACTAGATAACCTCCATGTACTGTCACTGTAAAGACACAGACTCCATTCTTTCTATTCTATTTTGCTGCCCTAGACTTTTGGCGAGATGGCATCAACATTTTATCAGAAGAGAGTACGGACAAGAGAACAGTGCTATTCGATGAAACTGAAAAGTAGAACATGAACGAATGCATCATTGAAGTACTAAGTGCAGAAATTCTGAATCCCAGACAGTAAAAAAAAAAAAAAAAGGAACAAATTTTGCATTTTCACTTACTTTAGGATGTTAAATGTTCTTCAAAAAAAATCCCCAAAAATGCCACACCCACTAACTTAGATTTAGTTAGCTAAGGGGAATTCCCAGCTTCCACAGAAATCACAATCATAAGACAAAAAAACAGTTTGGTAATTATTTTCTCTTATGGAGCTATCTTCTTAATAACAAATATTCACCTTAATGTTGCTAGTCACAGTTGCAGCTATCTTGCTTCACAGTTCTCAAGACAAAGATACCACATTTACATAAAGTGACGCAGTAAAAAAAGTCCATAAGTCCCCAAAAGACCTATGAATGTAACAAGAAAAAACGCAAACACAGCTTAAAGGTACAACTGAATGCTGGAATTGTATAAGGTACCAGAGATTCACGTGCTAGAAATATACGAATCAGCCATGCTGAGCACAGACATTTATTATTTCTAAACAATCTAGAGGGGAAAGGACAGAGAGACCACAGCTGAGCTGATGTAGTGATCACTTCCTTTCTCAGTTCACACATTTCATTGTGGTTTGACAGAGTTCTGCCTGGACTGGAATAAAACAATGTTTGCTTTTTCAACTTCTTCGGTTTCAATTAAGTTTTCTCTTCATACCTTATTAAGAGTACAAAACATCCTCCAGATGTTCCTGAAGCTTACATTTCTAGGAATCAAATCTTCAGATCACAGGATAATCCAGGCTGGAAGGGACTTCGGGAGGTCTCTAGTCTAACCTCCTGCTTGAAGAAGGGCCAAGTGTGAGGTCAGACCAGGTTGTTCAGGCTGTGATCTAGTTGGGTCTTGAAAACCTCCAAGGATGGAGATTGCACAGCGTCTTTGAGTGACCTGGTTGAATACTTGACTGTCCTCATGGTGAACACATTCCCAATATTCAGTTAAAATGCCTCTTGATTCAGTCTATGTCATTGCCTCTTGTCCTCCTGCCAAGCACCACTGTGAAGACACTGGATATCTCATCTTGATGAACTCCTCATAGGTATGGAAGGTCCCCTGAAGCTCCTCCAGGCTGAACAAGCCAAGTATTCTCAATCTCTACTTGCAGTGCAAATGCACTCACCACCTTGGTGGCCCTTTACTGAACTTGTTCCAGTTTATTGAGGTCTTTCTTGGATTCCAGAACAGATTTTTTTCCTTCTGCAGCCAACTGTCATGGTAACTAAGAGGGAGCCTTCTATATCAAGCAATGGAACAGGCTGCCCAGGGAAGTGGTTGAGTCACCATCCCTGGAGGTACTTAAAGGACATGTAGATGTGATGCTTAGAGACGTGGTTTAGTGGTAGACTTGGCAGTGTTAGGTTTATGGTTGGACTCAATTATCTTAAAGGTCTTTTCCAACCTAAATGATTCTAGGATTCTATGATGCTATAAGACAGTCAATGGATAATGCTGCTTTCATTCATAGAATGGTTTAGGTTGGAAAGGACCTTGAAGATCCTCGAGTTCCAATTCATTTCATAAGTTATTAACCAAATAAACATTTAATGCAAGATTGTTAACAATAACATGAGCAATAAAGCTACCTGTACAATTGTCTGTCCATAGTTAATAACACGAATCAGTATCTCCCATTTCAGCATGATGCAAGTGAACTGTGAAATATATTAAAGCTTTCAATTGCAGTTGATACTTAAGAGTCACATGGAAAACATCCTTTGCTACACAAACTTTTGCATAAAACAAAATAGACGCATGTTTAACCATTCCACAAGCCAGACAATCTCCCACACTAGGACTGTTATAGCTTTGGAGCAATTCATTCTCCTCAAGACCACGTCAGAAGATTGATTTAAGAATTAAGAGCATTGTAAGTGACCAATAGCATTATTATACTAGACATGAACTTCAAAAACAGTTGTCTTTGTTAATTTTGGGATCCATGACATGGGAAGAAATGTTTTTTTAAACATGCCTGATAATTTGCTCCTTATGCACCTTTTATACATTTCACTTTTCTTAACAGTAACTGCTCCTTGCCATTTAACATACATTCCCTGACTGAAAAAAAAAAAAAAAAAAAAGTTGATACACATTCTTGGTCTTCTGGCTACCTAGCCAAGAAGTAGAAAAGACTAATGGAAGTCTCGAGGTCTATATTTCTAGAATGGTGATTTGCCTGGGATGCAGCATAGCTGTTAAATACAGTTGATGCTGAGAACCACCAACCAACCACCTTCATTTAGAACAGGACAGAATATTGGGGGATACACAAATCAAAGACTTCAGAGAATAAAGGGCACCTCTTAAATATAAAAAAATCGGTTGGGAAAAACTTTTAAAATATTATTCAGAGAGAATTAGGAACTTCAGAATATATGAGTTATAAAAGGAATTATTGAAACATTTTTTTTTTACTCACTAAAAACCATTTCTGAACATTTTGCACCTACAAGTGCATACAACAAACCTAAAAACACAACTAAGTGAAACTCCCACAGAATAAGTTGGTTTAGGGAACAAAATGTATACTAAATTCTCCAATTAAAAACCTGTAAAGTAGTTTCCGTGCTTTTTAACCCACCTTCCCACAGCAGGGAATTAATCCCTCCAGGGGGATGCAAACAAACTTCAAAGAGAAGATTATACCCAGACACTAGTACTGTACAATGTAATGTTTATGGTCAAATTTGTTCAGATTTTCTGGCACTAGAATCCAGGTCAGATGTGCAGAAACAAAGACTAGTTATTAAAAGGGCTCCTGCAGTTACATCAAATAGTCGTGATGGCATAGAGCAGTAGGACAAGCCGAAAGTATTCCCGTTACAACTCCTATGGAGGCTTTGGCAGTAAAGGAAAGAGTTGCAGCTATTTGACTTTTGCGGATTGTAATAAACAAATACAGATACAAAAGGAGATAAGTGGCTTTCCAGTCAATAAAATATAGAAATCCTTTCTATCGGTTCATTATACCATATATAGAATACACACATGATCATTTCATAAAAGATAAAAGGGATATTACTTCAGTATATGTTGACTAAACATAATTATTTAATTTTGACATCCCTCCTTTTCATGACATTCTAGAGACTGATCTCACAAAACAGTATCTTGAACTAAATTCTGGGATTACGAATTTCAACTTTTGCTTTTCCTGCTTATCTCATCAAGTTCTTCAAGTTCAGAAAAAAGTGAAATCAAAAACTCACAAATATACTTACATGTTGGTTTTGTGGTTAAGGGACTTCTTGAGCATAAACATAAGAATACTTGTCAGAAATAATATTATAGAAAGACACTTGTATAATTATGGCTTGATAACAAAGTTTGGTAAAAATAGTTAAATCATAAGCTGTGTTCACACCTTATTGCTAGATAAAATTATTTGGTCAAAGGAAGAATTCTGGAAACTGATATAATTACTTCTGTAGAACAGTAAGGAGGAGGAAGTAAAAATAAATTCCACACAAGAAGTTTTAGAGTATTTTTTGTTTTAAAACTACCCATTCCTTATATGAGCAGCAAATACAAATGTGAAAATGCATTTACTTTTTCAACCCAATGAAGTAAATTATTTCTATTTAAAAAAAAAACAAAACAAAACAAAAAAGAAATCATAAAATGGCTCACAGTCAGGGAGAGAGGCAAGAAATTCTCATTATTAGTCCTAACTGTAAAAGATTCCACAAAATCACTAATTAAGATATCTTTAAAAGCTAGAACAGCATAATATTAAATATACTTCATTATCTCACAATACATGGTTCTTAAGAATAGATTTAGCCAATAAATAGGTAGAATTGCAGTGCAAAACCGTACCTTTCCCAATGCAGCTGATTCCTGAATAGGTTACTTCTGCATACACTTCAAAGGTAGTTTCAGGATTTTGTCTGAAAGAAAAAGAAAAGTATTTAGCACATTGAGAATTTTTTTTCAAGTGCGCTTTCAATTACTTGGTCAAAACGTGTTCTAAGAATGCATATGTAACAACGACAACTTCACAAACTTGATTTCTTGTTTTATAGTCTGTGATGATTTCACACCAGATCTTTCTGCCTCACTAGTACGGAACAAGATAGGACCGAAGCTTAGATGAGTCAGTATGAACAGGGTGTCTAACAAACTTCCATAGAGAAAAAAAAAGGATCAAAACAATAGAAATCAAGCACACAGAACCAAGTCAACTCTATTGTTGTGACTAGTCTGCATTTCTAGATACTAAAATACCACAGGCCTATCATTCAGAACTTTCCCAGAAAAAGAAAACCATGCCTTTTATATCACTTTTCAGAATGCTGGTCAGATAGAGAAACAACAGTTTTTTCAGTTCTTGGCCATAACTGTAGTTTTGATTACATGTACAACTTACAAAAGCCAGTTCTTTTTACTTCACCTTTACTTTCAAATGAGAAAGTAAATCACCTATGTGTTTGTCCTGGATTTTTTTTTTTTTTTTTTCCAGAAAAAAAGATAATCCTGAATACTCTTTTTCTCGTCACCAAACTGAAAACAGTCACATTGTCCAACATGGGACAAACAACCCAGATTCACATTTTCATTACTGTGACCCTTGAGTTCAACTTCATGACACCTATTTACTCAGGAAAAAGGGGGAACAAAAAAAAAAAAAAGCAGCTGCAGTCAAGAGCATGCAAAGTAATTTTATGCATACATTATTGGAAAACTTAAGAGGCTGTATTTAGGATGAAGACAGTTCCCCTCTTTAATACCTGTCAAAATATTTCTACCTCTTTGTCAAAAAAAAAGGCCACGCTGAAGAATATTACAAATGCAGAAGGTTGCACCTCATGAGAGTCCAGAGTCTTAAATCCAGAAAGCTGCCAGATGCACTCAAAATAAAGAAATAGGTGCAATAGTCAAAAAATGTACCAAATTCAGCTACAAAATGTAAATGAAGCTTGAGAAAGAATATTTATAACTCTACTCCAGAGTTATACCAGTAATAAAAGTTAATGATATAGAACGTAAGAAAAAAAACCCAACATATTTAGTGTACATTTTCAGTTCTTACTAATGTAACTCCATAAGTGAACCTCTGCAATTACATTTCATAAGGAGCATGTAAAGGCAGCAGGTGATTATATAAGAAAGCATATTTTGAGTTAAATTCCTGACTAACAATTTTAGCTACTCCAAAATTTTCTATGCGATTAAAGAGAATCACACATTAGACTGGAATTGTATAGTTACTGAAATAAGGATTTTGTAAGTCTGAACATGTGATATTTTATTCTTAGATTTTCTGGTTAAAACCAAGAATCAAAACTGCATAATTACTGCTCTAAATTTATGGCTGCTTGTAAAGTGATAATATTGTCTCCTATGTGTTAATGTAAACTATCTAACATGAGAAAATTGTTGAGGTATAATTAACTTGTGAATCTGGTTAGCTCCCTTACAGCTACGGATGAAAATAATGACAAAACCCATATATATGTATGTGCTAGAATTCCTACCTGAATAATAATTTAAAAAAAGAAACTCATCCAGTATCTCAAACCAAACATATAAACACGTCAAGGAGTTCAGCTTACTCTTCAGAGAGTTTCTATTATTTTTAATCCTACTTTAACACCAAAAGGGATTAAACAAAACATTTTTAACCATACCACAGGCCCACTTAGTGGAACTCAAGTGGCTCTAAGCCAAACCCCGCACCTATTTAAATCGAAAGAAAAGCTACCGTTGGTTGCAGTAGTATAGGATCACACTCTACAGTTTTACAGAGCACCTCTCAGGAGCAACAATGGTTCACAATTCAATTAATGTTAATTTAATTTGCCACCAGTTACCAACCGATTTGCCTTAAGTAGCCATTTTTAAGAAAACTACATTCCTAAGTTATGATAAATCTAAAATCAACAAATCAACTATTCTTTTGCAGTGTAAAACAAACTTGCATAATTCTCTCTGTGCTACTTAACAGTTGCTGCATATATTGAGATTCTTAGTTACATTCCTACAATCATGGTACAGGATGAGGATGAAATGATATCCACTTAACACCAGAAATGTATTTTTCCTTTCATATATATTGCTGTGCAGCCTTATCTTACCCTCCTTGTTTATGTCTTTATTTTTAGCACCCTGTTCCCTTAATTAAAAGTTTATAAATTTTATAATATTTTTACAGCTAATGGATAAAATAACAAACACCTTTTTAGTATTACGTTAGAGTCTGTGTTCAAATTCTTTAGTGAAAACACTGTATAACGCAGTTGTCAAGAGCACATACTGTATACTAAACCTTTCAGACAAAAAGACATTAAATTTTGCTTTTTAATATTCCACGACAAACGTCCACTTATTTCTCCGAACAGTGAAATTAAAGTAGCTTTGCCAAGTCAGAAACTTAGTATTAAAGGCTGCATTCAACAAGCTAACACCTCAGTATGAGAATGAAGTCATTGTTGCATTCCGAATACTTTGTAACTTTTCAGTGGAATTAAGGAAACAAGTCACTCTGAGACTTCATGCAGTTTGCAAACAGCATAAACGTGCATGATAATATGTATATTTTGCAGTCCTTTTTTATGACTATTAAACTGCCCTGCAGACATCTAATGCCACCTGTGCATTGTATTAAAACCTCAACCCACTGAAATCATCCACAGCATTACAAACTTAAACACACACGAAGTTTTCTTTCCTCCCAATACCCTCCAAATAATCACTTAAAGACCCATGGTCAATTATCAAGTGAACATACAGATGTGATAAAAAATACACAGGACACGTACCCCATTTATTTCATAACTGGGTAATTTCAGAAGGAAATGCAATACCTTTTTTGTAAATAGAAATTTAAGAAGGAGCTCTATGAGAAAATAATGCTTTTTGTATGCTAGTCGTATGAACTACTTCAAATCTCTCTGACATAGAAATAGCTTTAACATCAAAGCAATTCATAAGAAATTCAATTTTACATTTAAGTAATATATTTTAAATAAGATACTTATGCACCTTTTACAATCAAAAATATTAATTTTTACCAAATTGCAAGAGATTTGTGCAGAATAAAATTAAATAAAATTCTTCTCCGAAGCTGCATGTACACAAGTACATACCTTACATATCTAAAGCCTACTTCAATTCTGTCAGAAGCATCTTTTTTTACTACACAGAAGAAAATGTAATAGCACTTATGAGAGAATCATTCTACTTAAAAATTGAGGCATGAGAGGAGCTTGAAACTGTTTGATAATTAACTGTCCTGTAACAAGCCAATTTTTTTTTTTCTGCAAGAATTGAGCAAGTATTAGCAGAAATCTGTACTTGATAATTCAATTCAGAAATTTAACCTCAAACCTTGATTAATTTCCATATATTTAACTTTTTCTGCCTGGTATTCCCTAGGTAGATAATATTATATGTCAGTATATAGCAAACTTTATGTTAAATATCTGAAAGCATTCCCAGATTAATACTAGGGATCTCTTCTGTCATCACTAAATTACAACCACCTCTGGAAAGAAACATGCCAAGTTTTTTTACAGTGCATACAGTTTCGTTGAACAGATTGATACTGACACACTATTAAAAAAAATAATAATGATAGTTTCTCTTCAGTACTCAGTCTTGAGTAATGAAGGCTACAAAGAATTGATAGCAGCCAGGTTAACTAGATTCCTATTTTACATTACCTCGCTGGCACAGAGTGCCTTGCACATACAGTATGATATGCTGCAACACGAAGCTTAACCCAACAGTGTAACCCAATACTCAAGTTACCTTTTTTGCGCCTGCAGCTATACACAAGCCAAAAGCTTACAGAATTGCTGGCAACTTCTTGATTTCTTTCACTTCAGTCTGATGCAGCTACTGATAATTTCCTCTAAGCAATCTTTCACTCAAATGATTCATTACTATACATCCATCAAAAATATAACTGACACATATGTCCAGGTTTCACGCAGAGTTTATCACAGTGTGTACAAGTGATCATGTGCCAAGGAGTTTAATATCCCTCCTAAATATCCATCCATAACAAGAAGCAAGAGATCTGACTACTGGATTTTTGCTAGGGCTCCAACACATATTGGCAATGCCACTAAAGGAGACATGCCTCAGTATACCCAATTATAAAACAGTTTTCTCATTGATGCTTCCACCTGCCCCAAGAACAGAGCTCCTTATCAACTTGAAAATCTTTGCTGGATCAAACATCCAGGTCAGACTCAGATAGGCTCTCTCATTCTTTATATATTTCAAGATTGTTTTGAAATTTTGTCCCTACTCTACTTGGGCACAGTGTGCTGTCCGAAGTGGAAAAAAATTATCTATTAATTGTTGCTCAAGGCAAAGTTGATTAATCACACAATGGACAAAATGCTTTCTCACAAAGTCTAAGATGAATTAAAAATAATGCAATAATCGGATGATCACCTATGTTTTCCTGGTGACAGAGAAAGACATGAGCTTTCTCTGTAATCTTGAAAGACATGTTCACACTGAAACAGACTTTGAACAGAAAAAGTCGTAAAATCCATTGGCTGTAATAAATACTTCTAACTGCTACATCTTCTCACAGATACCAGTGAGGTTTCCAGTTGAAATGCCTCATCTGAGTAATTACATTCACATTCAGCAAAGTGTATGCAAAGCCATTAAATGTCAAAGTAGCAATCAAAAACCCAAAGACTGTAAACACAGCTTGTGGATTCAGTATGTACACAAAAGAAACTATACTTTAAGTGAGCATCTGCCTTTTAATAAATTTAAGATAAAGTCATCATAAGAAGTCATTTCACCTGAAGTGACCCAACCAATGGTGACCACTGCAAGATCCACTTGTGCAAGTTACTTCGGTGCAAGTTACAGATGCAACCTGCTCTGCTGTCAAAATAGTAACAATTTTAGATTCTACCTGTATTT